ATTTTAAATTTTTTATATTTAAAATGAGATGTTTATCCTGTATTTGATTGTGTTTATCTGCAGTTAGTTACACGAATTCAGATATGAGATGAAATCGGATAAGGATGAAATCGTTTAGGAATGAACGAGTTTAAGAGTTTTTAAGATTTTTAAGAGTTTTTAAGAGTTTTAAGAGTTTTTAAGAGTTTTAGCCAAATGCTTTATAATATAGTATAGATAATATAATATAATATAATTAATTAATTAAATTTAATATACAATATTAAAGATGCAATCTCATAATGAGAGTAGGAAGGAATGCGTTGCGTCCAAGTTATATACAATATTTACTGAATTGCTTTTGCTGACCCATCCAATCATCGTATTTATTTATACCTTGTTCTTCTTTAATACAAATTTATATTTTATATAATATTTATATATCACTCACCCTCCTCATATTTGGTGAAGTTTGAACCCTTGACCTTATAGAAAGCCAACGACTCACATACCGCTAGATCAAAAACCCTTTGGTACAAATTTGTAATCTGTGTTATGCATATGCTCATTTTTTTATCAGAAAAATATGGTTTATACAAATATATACAACATTTGCATAAAGAATGTCTAGTTTGAGAATCGGCTTGAAAATGTGATTAGTTATTGTTCTTGAGTTAACTACGATTTTAGTCCATGTGGTTTGTTAAAAATTCCATTTTTCATCCTTGCATTTTTGAAGTTTTGGTTTTTGTCCATGAGGCTGAATCAGTCAGTTGTATACTGTTAACTGTTAACTGTTAAGTATGATGTATGCAAAGAATAATGAATTGTAAACTGTGTGAACGAAAACTACGATCAGTTGTAAATTATATGAACGAAAATTGTAGTTTCTAAAACATATGGACGGAAATAATAATTTTAGGACAACCACCCGCTATATGAGCTGACTAATTTTAGAACGACCACCCACTATATGAGCCGACTAATTTCAAGATGACCACTTTGCAGGTAGCCCGGTGTTTGGGGAATTAATTCAAAGAAGATCAGTTTAATTTTTTTATATACTTTATCTGGTTTGTTCACACTTCGTCAATTGTTACTATAATTTAAACAGTTTACCTGATTTTTACATCTTTTTAAGGTTGATTGTAATTTCGCAACTGTAATAATAACTGATAGAGTTCAAACAAACAACAAGAACATTTTATGAAATTTACTCTTTTTTTCTCAATGAATTATATGTAACTTAAGTTCGTTTTTTAATTTTCTTTTAGGGTAAATTCCGTTTTTTATGGTTTGTTAAAATTTATGATTTTTATCTGTGTGGTTTCAAAATTATGGTTTTCGTTTCTATGATTTGTAATTCATTGCTATTTTCATTTTTCAGGCTAAATATTGCTTTTTTAAGAATGAGCAACACAACAACTACTAGGGTATTTCTGTCCAGATGCAGGTAGTTTGCATCTTCACAGACATGTCTATTTCACCGAGCCTCTCTTCGAGACAGTGCCCAGATCGTTACCCCTTTCGTGTAATTGTAATCCACCAGTACAAAAACGATAATAAACTGTAAATCATAACGACTAAAACAACAATAAATTATACACCAACGGGATGGTATTCATAGTTTTAAAAGTACATGAACAAAAAAAGCAATTTTTGACAAACAACAGGGACTAGAAACGTAAAATACTATTTCTTTGATTTTTAAATAGATATAAACAAGTAGATATTAATTTGGGCTTCAATTTCAACTGTCAGGCCCAAAACTTCTTCCAGCCTGTTATTTTAAAATTTAAATTAAGAGGACATTAGAACATATCTATACTATATTATAAAATATTTGACAAAAACTTTTAAATATCATTTTTTATGCATTAAATACTGTTTATTGATACATATTACTTAAAATTCAAGATTATAAGTAATTTTTCCAAATGCACAACTTATTAAAACTCCATGTTTAAATTTATGTAACTAACTAYAGATAAACATAATYAAATWCWGRATAARYATYTCATTTTAAATATAAAAAATCTAAAATATATTTAAAATAAACATTGAATTCAAAATGCTAAATATTATCTTTATAAAATAATTATATTATTAAACCAAAAATAAATGACTTCATTATTAAATCTAAATTAAAATATAATAAAAAATAAAATTAAAGAAATTACACAAAAAACAAGAACTTTTAAATATTTAATTTGATACTAAAATCGATATATATATTTTTTCAAAAAATTATGATACCTTCAAACTTATATTTTATACAAAAAATAAATAAAAACATTATCGTTTTTTCGATACCACATAAAATCGTATTATAACATCGACGGAGACAGAATAAAATGAAACATTAAAAAGAGATGTATCTCGCTCTATTGCGCGAGTACCCTTCTAGTTTGTTAACAGTTTAATTATATATACATGATTTTTTGGTAGTGGCTTAATGAGATACAAAATGACTTATTTAGCAAAACTTATAGGAGAATTTTTATGCAGAAAACCTTTTTTTCCCTTCTAAACATGTCCCTTCCAATTAAAAAACACGTTTATTCCATTTATGAAAAAACTCTGTCAAACAAAAATCTTCTCAATCTACACTTCTACACAAACAAATTAATCCACATATACAATCTTATTCATATATTACCTAATGAAAAACCAACCAAACAAATCTTAATTGTCACATATATTTAAACCAAACAGAACCAATTTACTACAGAAATTGATGCATCTTACAGATAAATACTGGTACCATCTAACGAAAATGGAGTTCAAAACTTACCTTTTCACGAAGGACTTGTGATCTGAGTATTTTCGTAGAGTAATGCTGACAACTGATAGGACACAGATCAAATAAGACTTATTCTGTTAACTTATCCATTTAAAATATCAGGTAACAACTAACACATTATATTATGATAGAGTCTAATCATTTAGGGTTGGCCCAGTTCTATAAATTTAATATATGATACATAAAGTTTGTATAACGACTGCTTTTGTGTTTTTTTTGTTTACATCTGATATAACTGTTATAATAATAATTATTTTTTTAATATAAAATGTACAAAGATACAAAAAAATATTAGATGATGAATACTATAAGCATTTTAAAATTTATATTCGGATTTAGTCCCTATGGTTTTAAAATTTCGGTTTTTATCTTTATAGTTTGCAATTTATTTTTATTTTCGTCTGTAAGGTTAAAACATTACTTTTAAGTATAAAGAATCGAAATACAATTGAATTGTGAACCATAGCTATGAAAACAGAAATAAATTTTAAATCATAAGAACGAAAAAGATGATGAATTATAAACCATACATATAAAAATTATAATTCCAAAACTATAAGGACGAAAATAGAAATTTTCAACAAACCACAGGGACTAAAAACGTAATTTACTCTTTTCATTTCTTTATCCTTGAGAATTTTGAAACCTAACGACAAAACCACCACACGCCGCCGTGGACTACAAAATTGGACGGTTGTTTTAACCGCCATGTCCCACCACCATCCCACCATCTAAAAACACACCCACCACCATTTTTATTCCACTTAACAATCAATCAATCAATGGATCAAACATCTCCCAAATCTCCACCGCCACAACAACCACCGCCACCGCCGCCGCCGTTGAATTCTCTGGTTCCGGCCACCGTTGCTCCCACTCCTCTTATCGTCCCAAAGGCTTTCAAATACCCAGAAATGTAATTAAATCTTAATTTTGCAGTAAATACTGTTTTTATTTTGTTGGTTGAGATGTATTGGTAATCAGATACAGCTGAATGATTAAGCAGTTGGTTGATATTTGCAGGTATATGAGTCCTACTGATTTGATTATGTCCCCAGTTACAAAGGGCATACTTGCAAGAACCAGATCCAATAAGTCATCTCATCCATTACAACCCTCCAGTACAAGTAAAGAACAGCACAAGGTACAACCTCATCATGCATATATAGTCTGATCCACAACAATCCATAACCAAACAAAAGAACACGAAAACATGCAAAATCACATGCGATTTTACACTAACGGTCAATGTAAAGTTTTGTGCGGGCGACGTTGCCTGCGACGTTCGTGCAAAGTCGCGTGAATCACTTGTGATTTTATACTTGATTTTATTGTAAAATCACATGTAATTCGACTGTTTTCTTATTATTATTTTGTCACTGTCCCGTATGAACCTGACACACACACACACTCTCTCTCGATAACGCGGATACTGCTAATCCAATGACCATTTACTTTCATCTTCTTTTATGTTGCAGATTCAAGTTTCAAAATTTGAAGAAATGGGTACTCTTGAAATTTGATGGGTTGTTTGAATCTTGATGAAAGATGAAGAGGTGGTGATGGGTTGATCAAATGGCTGGAATAAGTTTCTTTTAACCATTGTAATTGTAGTTTTATTGTAATTTAATGATACGTGTTAAATGCAAATGGACCGTTGGTAAGTGTCTTTTACTGACATTCTACTTGGTGTCGGTAATTTTTGAGATTGGTGACATAAATAAGCATTTATCAATCACGTGTCGCATGGACCAAGTCTCGTCGTGCCTTCCTCCTCGCTCATGTAGTGGTTTCTTTACCACAACTAACACTTATCGTTAAGATTCTTCCTCATTAATTTGTTTATTCTGCCTTTCTCGCTCCTCTATAATCCAAAAGTAAGGGGTCGTTACTAAAATGCTTACTCGAAAGAGCACCAATCTAGTTAACTTATTGGTTGTTAAATAAATTAGGGGGGAGCAACAGAACCGGGTACCCATTTGCGGAACCGGAACCGATATGAGTGATTCTGGTTCCTAAAATACGGAACCGATTGAGAATTATTTCGGTTCCGGTTCTCAATTTTTCGGAATCGTTACCCGTCTGGACCGCTTTCGGGACTGGGTACCTGGAACCGGCAGGTACTCTAAACCGGAACCGGCGGGTACCCGGTAATTTTCAATTAAAAATATAATTTTTTTTAATACTAAATTTAAATTAGGTCAAGAACTCTAGATTCAGAATTTGAGATAAAATGAATCGTATTTTTTCAAATTGTGTGTTTGATTAGATTCGTAGTATGTAATCGTTAAACTTTGAACCTTTACAATTCTAGTATGTAATCGTTAAACTTTCAACATTTACTATTAGTCTTGTAATCGTTAAACAATATTTGTAACCATTATTCCATATAATCTGTATTCTTGTTTATTTATTAAGTGTTTTGGCAATGTTTTATTTTTTATTTCAAAATAACAAAATTTAATATTTTAGGAAGCGGGTACCCGGAACCGGAACCGGTTCCCGGCGGTTCCGGTTCCAAAAATTCAAGAACCGCTCTAATCGGTTCTAGTTCTGGTTCTAATATCTCAAGAACCGCCGGTTCCGGGACCTGTCAAATAGGGCGGGTACCCGCCTATGCTCACCCCTAAAATAAACTGTTGGTAAGTGTTTTTTACCCGATAAGTCCTCTCCTTCACTTAGCAGATAAGATTCTAGATTCTTACCATGTCCTTGCAAGATAAGATTCCAGGTATTTGTCATACTCACCGAAAAAGTGAGTGACACTCGGTAATATGATTCAACGGTCATACTAGATTTATTTTGTATCAATCTTTAATATCTTCGATAACAAAAGTCACACTTCAACAAGAATAACCTAAGGAGATGAAGTGTAATATCTTATCCACTTTAGGGGGATACAGTGGTCATGGAGGTTCACTTACAATGACTCCAGACCATTCATGGTCGTCCGGGAGATTAGTCGGTGCACGTAAACTAATAGAAAATGTATTTCACGAATTGTAGAGACGAAAACAAAAAAACAACCATAGACAAAAAACCGAAAATACAATTCACTCTATTTATAGAAGATTAAGGTTGAGTTTCAGTGAGAATGAATGAAAGGGTAATAAGAGATCTCCACCGCTGAATCAATCATAATTGAAAATCAATATTAATGAGATGCACCAGATTAATTCTTGTGGAAAACAAAATTCATAGGTAGGGATGAAATTAAAAGTGATGAAGAGTTCAATTTTTTTATGCTTCGTACCTTTAACTCCTATTCTCACAGTATCGTTCATCCAAAAATATAAAATAAACCATCATTAAAACTAAAATAAATTATATTTTTTTACTAAATTATAATAAAAATTTTGTACTAAAAGAATTTAAAAAAACAAAACAAAACAAAACAATATTTTTTTTATAAACTAGAAGGGTAGTCGCGCAATGCAATGAGATACATCTTGATTTTAATATTTCATTTTATTCTTTATCTCAGTCGATGTTATAGTATGATCTTATGTAATTTTGAAAAGCGATGATGTTTTTATTTTTGAATAAAATATAAACTTGAAGATATTATAAAAATTTGACAAAAATATATTGATATTAGTATCAAATTAACTATTTAAAATTTCTATTTTTTTGTAATTTTTTAATCCAATTTTTTTATTATAATTTAATTTAGATTCAATAACGAAATAATTTATATTATAAAAATAATAATTAATCATTTTGTTAGAACTCAATAATTATTCTAATTATTCTTTATATTTTTTATATTTTAAAATGAGATGTTTATCCTCTATTTGATTATGTTTATCCACAGTTAGTTACACGAATTCAAACATGAAACTTTAATAAGTTGTACTTATGCATAATTTACTTGTAATATTGAATTTTAAATAATATACATCAATATACAGTATTTCATACATAAAAAATATTTTTTAATTTTTTTTATCAAATACTTTATAATATAGTATAGATTTAATACCACTACTAATGCAGGTTCTCTTTACCATGTTTTCAAATTAATAAGAAATAGTCTTTAACTACTATTTGTAATTTCACACATAAATTTCGGTTTCTCTTCGATTATTTCTAGGGTTTATTATATATATATATATATATATATATATATATATTTGTATGTATATTGGAGGTTCAATTAGTTGGGATCGATGTCACACAAGAGGGCTGCTGTTGGGTTTCATTCAGCACCTGCTACGGATGATAAACCAAAACGAACAAAGGTAGCTTCTTAATTAATTAATTACTACTATTACTATTAATGCTGTTTTACTCAGAATTTTCGAATATCCCAAAAACCGTTTAACTCGAATCTCATTCGGTTTTGATGGGTTATTTGTGTTGTAGGTACACGATGGGACGGAAATATCGAACGACGATGTTTTTCACAACATATTTTCTCGACTTCCCGTAAACACCTTAATGCGATTCAGATGTGTATCCATGCGTTTCAATGCTTTGATTTCGAGGTTTTTAAACAAGTTGGTGTCACGCAAAAACATTAAACCAAAACGAACAAAGGTTCTTAACCATTTTTACCCTTATGGCAATGAAGATTCACGTGCAAAGACTCTGATGGTCGTTGGCCTGGATACCCATGTTTTTCCGAAGAAAACTACTAATTGTTTTTTTTTTTTTGTTAAACGTGGGTGTCCGCGTCATCTTGTACGTACCTCGACTAACCCATGGGCCGTCTCAGCAGCCTTGAAAACTACTGACGTTTGTAGTTTCACTTTGTGTTTTTTGTTCTGTGTTCCAGATGGAAATATCGGAAGACATTCTTCGCAGCATACTCTCTCGACTTCCTCCAAATCGGTTAATGCGGTTCAGATGTGTGTCGATGCATTGGAACAGTCTGATTTCAGATCCCTACTTTATCAACTCGAGATCGTGTCCAAAGATCCTTCTTTCAGGCCCATTCTCACATCTTAATGCTTTACATCTTAATGTTTTAGACAACAAACCTCATTCCATGATCAACCTTCCTTTTCCGATCAAAACCAGAAGGAGACAAAGACGCGTCTTAGCTTTAGGAACGTTCAATGGGATCGTCGTTTTGGCCCGTGAAAATGGTTATCATAAGAATAAATTGGTTCTATACAATCCTTTAACCGGTGCTACCCTAAAACTTCCGAATCCACTTTATAAATGTTGTAATCTACCCAATTCCGGTGATTTATTCGGATTCGCTCATGGCGATGACCCGAAAATTTATATCGGGCATACGGAATATCTTTGCAACCGCTGTGAACCCCATTATTTTGAGGTCTTCAGTCTTAAAAAGGGTTCATGGACGATGTCAAACACAAGGTTGGTAGGCAACGTGTTTGACAATACCGTGGGTGTGTTTCTAAATGGATTTTTGCATTGGCCTTCGATATATTTGAATGAAGGGAAGATTGTGGCTCTCGATGTTAAGAAGATGGTAGTTTTGATCGTTGATGTACCACCCCGTCAAAGTGAGGTTTACATAAGGTATGGTTTGGGTAGGCTACAAGGATGCCTTTGCTTGATCGAGCCTATTCATGAGGGGTTCGATGTGTGGGTCATGAAGGAACACCGTGTCAGCGAGTCGTGGTCGAAAGAATACTCGTTCACGTTCTCTCTGGAATACGACTACAAATGTCTCCACACTGTGTGTATCTTGGAAGACGGAAGAATTGTTGTGATGGATGGACCGTACCGAGTTGTGCTTTGCGACCCATCAAAAGGCTCGTACAACGTTTTCACAAATACTAATAAGATGTTTATGCATGGAAATGGCATCGAGTACGTTGAGACTCTGGCTTCGCCTTCTGATTTCTTCCATGTTTAGTTTTCCAAGTCTGGACCGTTTACCAATTTTTTTTTTGCTTAAGTGCTGATTCGGGTAAGAGGTGGTAAGAGATTAGTAAACAAGGGTTTACTCTTTCAAGCACTTTGGTTGTCACTTATTATTAAGTTTCGTCTGTTTTAAGCATTTGTAAAGTAAATGCAATACTATTATGTCCTATCATGTCTGGACATCAAACACACCATAATAATTACCATAGTTTTTTTTTTTTATAGTCAAACAACGTAATTGTTTTAAAACTTTTCTAGGTCCATTTCTCATTCGAAAGTTTAACTTGGTCAGATTAGCTAAACTGACAATAATATCTGGGGCTTTGAAGATTCTCCAGTATCAGAGGTCAGCGATTCGAGTCCTGCAATATCACTGAGAATTTTCATGTTTGTTCTTTAGAGCCCCTGGGATCAATTGCACAAGCTGACCCTGACACCAACAGCTAACTAAAATAATAAGCCGGAATCCAATACATCACCATCCACAAGTCAATAATTTTGTGTATATAAGTATGTGCGTCTTCAAAATAATTATTATGACATTTAAAGATCATAAACACATCAAATAGGCATTGGTATATGTTTCCTATTTCATATATTAAATTAATCATCTATATTATATTATAAAATATTTAATAAAAACTTTTAAAACGATTTTTTATACACGAAGTACTGTTTATTGATGCATATTACTTAAAATTTAAGATTACAAGTAAATTGTATGCAAGTATAACTTATTAAAGTTTTATATTTGAATTCATGTAACTAACTGCGTATAAACATAATCGGATAAAGAATAAATATCTCATTTTAAATATGAGAAATCTAAAATATAATTAGGATAATCATTGACTTCTAAC